CCAATGCTGGATCAGGCCAAAGGCCCATCCAGTCCAACACTCTGTGTCACACAGTGGCCAAAAATACCAGGGGCCATCAGGAGGTCCAGCAGTGGGGCCTGAGGACTGGAAGGCAGCTAATGTCACTCCCATCTTTAAAAAGGGTTCCAGAGGAGAGCCGGGAAATTACAGGGCAGTCAGGTATAGATAGGGGCTCTGGGGCAAGTGATGCTCTGTCTTCTTGGTGCTTGGGGGGGGGCAAGAGTGGGAGGGCTTCTAATGTCCTGGCCCCACTGCTGGACCTCCTGATGGCAACTGGTATTTCTGGCCACTGTGTGACGCAGAGTGTTGGACTAGGTGGGCCTTTGGCCTGATCCAGCATTGGCGTCTCTTATGTTCTTATGTTCATACACTTATATACACTGACCAGCCAATCAGCTTACTGCTGAGTCACTGTGAGACAGCTCAGCTTCGCTCCAGTCAGAACCGGTTTGTGCCGGTTCTCCAGACTGTCAGACACCTGTCCAATAGATTGGCATGATCACACATACTGAAGCCTTACGACATTCCACAGGAACGTGGCCCACGCGTGAACACACACGAAGCCGCCTTCTACTGAATCAGACCCTCGGTCCACCAAAGTCAGTGTTGCCTACTCAGACTGGCAGACTGGCCGCGGCCCCCCAGGCAGAGGTCTTCTGCCTCACCGACAACCTGATCGTCCAGACCTGGACGGCCCGGGCTAGCCCGATCTCATCAGATCTCGGAAGCTCAGCAGGGCCAGCCCTGGTTAGTCCTTGGGAGGGAGAACGCCAAGGAAGGCCAAGGTCACTATGCAGAGGAAGGCCATGGCAAGCCCCTTCAGCTCACATCCAAAGAAGTGACTGCGGTGACTCAGAAAAGCTCCTCCCCTGCCACAAATGTTAGTCTTCAGGGGTCATTTCGTAGAAAAAGAGGTGCAGGAGCTCATTGGCATAGCTCAGTAGCACAACTCATTTGCATAGGCCACACCCCCTGACGTCACCGGAAGTGTGTCAGAAGGCAACACCCACCGCTCAGGCTCCACTGGACTGTTTTGGATTGATAGCTATTGGGGCGGGGGAACGTGCAGATCTGCCCTCACAGAGGAGGGAGAGCTTGTGCCTGAACAAAACGTGGTCTTGAAGGTGCCACTAGACTGTTTTGGATTGCTAGCTATGGGGTGTGTGTGTGCAGACCTGTCCTCACAGAGGAGGGAGAGCTTGTGGCTGAACAAAACTTGGTCTTGAAAGTGCCACTGGACTGATTTGGATTGCTAGCTATGGGGGGGGGGAGGGAATGTGCAGATCTGTCCTCGCAGAGGAGGGAGAGCTTGTCCCTGAACAAAACTTGTCTTGAAGGTGCCACTGGACTGTTTTGGATTGCTAGCTATTGGGGGGGGGGAATGTGCAGATCTGTCCTCACAGAGGAGGGAGAGCTTGTGCCTGAACAAAACGTGGTCTTGAAGGTGCCAC